GGAAGGGGCCCGGGTAATGAACTCCCATTGGTTTCCTTCGCAAGATCACTACCTTAATTTACGAGGCCTGAGTGAGTCTCATTTCCCCAGTGCACGTTGAGTAATTAACTATTAATAAAAGCATTACTGAGTTAACCACGGGGGCATGTTTAATTCATGGGGCAACCCGGAACAGGATGGTGGCAAGGCTCAGTGGGGGATTCCTCCTAGGGCCAAAAGAGAGCAGCATGGGGCCCTGGCCTGCTAGACCTCAGCCCCCTGTGGTGGGCCATTACTGCTGCCCCCAGGCAGAGGGGCCTAATTGGCAGGAGGGCATCAAAACCGCCTGGCATCCCTCGCAGACGGTGGCAGTGCTGGGGAGAAGATCTGGGAGGAAGGACTCCTCATTGAATGACCAGGGTGAGTGACCTTGGGCAAGTAGACAAACAACTCTCAGTCTTTTTCTGTTTTGTTTTTAAATCTGGAAACCGGGCTGTAAGTCACAACCATTTCCAGAGTGCAGGCGATCGGCAGGGACGGCCAGATGGACAAGTGACAAAGCTTCTGCATTGGCTTCATCAGGACCGGAAGGAGCATTGCTGGGGTAGCAGTGAGGGGAGGGGGCACCTGCTCCTTGAGGAGGACAAGATGGACAGTCCCTGTCAGAATGCCTCCTGGAGTCCGCTGGCTGTTCAGAAGCCAAGCCACCCCCCTTTCCTGTGCAGTCCCAGCTAGCAACCGTGAACTTGATCTCGGAGCTAAGCACTACCCTGGTGCCCACTCAGCCTCTTGCCTTAGCATCTGCCCTGCCCTGTGTGTGCTCTGCTTTTTTTTTTTTCTGTGTTCCAGTGAGCTCCTCTGTTGTCCTGAAGACTAAGTTCAAAAGCCCAGGTCTTTCTCAAAGTGGCTTTCCTGACCCAGATGGTCCCTCTGTATTTCCTCTCCTGCCACTGCCCCTTATCCCCTCACCCATTATCTATCCACTCACCTGCCAGTCTACGCATCCATCCGTATATATAGCTACATGCCTATCTATGCATCCATCCATCCATGCACTTACTCATTTCCATATCTACCCACCCACCCACCCATCCATCCATCATCTATCTCTATCATCTATCCACCCACCCACCCATTCATCCATCTATCTCTATCATCTATCCACATGCCAATCTATTCATCCATCCACCCAATTATCCATCAATCCACTTACCCATTTCCTCATCTGTCCATTCACCTACTCATCTCCTTACCCACCTACCCATCTCTCATTCATCCGCCCGCCCACACACCCATCTCAACCATCCTTCCCCATCCGCATATCCACTCAACCACCCAGTCATCACATTTCCTGACTACCTTCTGTGTTTATTTCACTGAAACTCTGGACAAATAAGGGTTTCCCTAAATCAGCAGTTCCTAACTTTTTAGGAGTTACGAGCACTATACCTAAAACAAAAAGCAAAATGCCCCAAACCAAAAAACAACAAAGCCACACACATGTGCACATCCATGTCAGATGTGCAGATGTGCAGATTCTTGATGGTCCTGGAGCTTGGCTATGGTCCTGAGGACAGGAACACCATGATACAGTGGGGGACTGTCTTGAAGAAAATTGCCTACCGGAAGTCATGCCTCATTCCAGGGGCAGGCCCACCAAAGTGACTGAGTACCATCAGTTATCCCTCGGGGTAAGGCTGAGGGGCTGATGGGCCAGGATGCTTCACTGTCAAGGGGCCAAGTCCCGCCCTTCTCTCTCTCCCCAGGGCCACTTCCTAGTAGACTTTGCCACTGAGTCCCATGAGGACAGGGCGGATGGTCTCCGCGGCTCACACAGGCAGGCACCTGCAAATGCTCCAGAAGCATTTCCTGCATGTATTCTGATGGATTTCCTTGTCTCCAGCAGGAGGGTTCTTCTTATACTTTAAAAGAAAGGCTCGGCCCTGCCACCAGATGCCAGGGCCTGGGGGTTGCTGGCCTGCTTCAGGGAAATGTACTAGGTTGCCAACGAAACTGTAATAACCATGGGAACAGCAGTCAAGCTCATTGGTTGCTCTGAAGCTGGGGGAAGGGGCCTGGCTGATGTCCTGGCTAGGGGCAGGCAGAGGCTGGACTGGCACTCACCGTTGGTGGTGGGGGATGGGAACCTGCCCACCTCACTGAGCAAACTCATCTCAAGTTTATAACTAGCACCACCCCTCACACTTGGCTTTTAAAATCATTTCTCTAACATTTAGGGAGGAGCGCATGTGAGTGACACAACGCACTCGTGGTGGCCAGAGGACAATCTGTGGAAGCCGCTTGTTTCTTTAGCTGTGTGGGGCCCAGGGATCAAACTCAAGTTTGGGGACGGTGACAAGCACTTGTGTTTTCTTCACAGAGCCACCTCCGCTACTGGAAATTTCTCCATGAAACAAACACCAATAAAGAGACTCCGGTGTGTAATCCCTAAATGTTGGGGCTCCGGTGCTGGCTGCTCCTCTCCCTTGTCACCTGGGTAGGTTGTGATATCCGCAATCTGGATACAGAGAGCTAATAGCTGTGTGCTCAACACAGCAGCGGATTTCCATACATCCCTTATCTTCACAGTTGCTCAGGAGACAGAATTATTCCATTTATCGACAAAGACACAGGCTCAAAGAGGGGATCAGCAACATGTCCAAGGTCACCCAGTCCAGGGAGCCGAGGACAGAGGACTTCTAGATACGTGGCTTCTGTGAAGTTAGTTTCCACAGCCAAGAGGAATGGGTCCGCAATTCTAGCTATACGGGGCCACCTGGGATTAAATAATCCACAAGAAGGGCCAGGAAGTGGCCTTTCTTCCTTATTTTTTGTTTTTTTGAGACAGGGTTTCTCTGTGGCTTTGGAGGCTGTCCTGGAACTAGCTCTTGTAGACCAGGCTGGTCTCGAACTCAAAGAGATCCACCTGCCTCTGCCTCCCTAATGCTGGGATTACTGCCTGGCCAGAGTGGCCTTTCTGTCCTGTCCTCCCCACCCCTCTTCTCTTTCCCTGGGCTGGAAGGACAATGACTCTGCTTTCATGTCCAGCAGTCTGTCACATGGCCAACAGTCCCTGGGTGGCTCACCCTGAAAGGACAACCTAAGAGTCCCCACCCTCAGGTCTTCGGACTATGCCAATTCACAACGATGCCTAAGATGCTTGCAGGTACCATGGGACAAATTCTCCTGGTGCTAGGCAACTTCTCTTAGGCCACGGGGGTTTTTACAGCACAGGAAGGAACAGATGGGAATGATCTCCTGAGCCCCTAAGGTAGAGAGGGTACCAGAATGAAGATGCGAATACAGCAGGCTCTCAGCACACCTCTGGCTTACTCTTGTCCACACACCAACCACAAGCGTCCTAGTATATTGGGGTCATCAACCTTCCTCCCACTGTGGGCTCTGGGGAGAGGCGGTGGGCATGTAAGCACTTAAAACTCAGCCCTGGGTCAGCCCTTCCCTTTCCGCTGCTGCAGCAGCCCTGGAGCTGGGGACAAACAGTACAGCCTCAGAGACCAGTCACATCCTCAGCTTTCTTCAACCTGGGCAAACGCTGAGTTACCATGGTGACGCTGCAGCCCCCAAGATGCAGTGGTTGCAGACAGCATGGGTGGTTGGAGGGCTCAGGGCTGAGGGTGGACAGTCTAGACCAGGAGGCCAGGCAACTGGGTGGGGGAGGAGGGAAGGGAGGCCTCCTCTAGGCCTGGCTGGTAATTGCTGCTAAGTGAGGGGCTGTCATTGAACCCAACATGTGAGCGGCGAGGGCCCACTCCACACCCTGTAATTACCGCACCAGACAGCAGTGCCAGCTTGTGTCCTGGAGAGGGGGGCGGTGCAGAGTAGACAGGAAGCTCTCATCCACCTGAGCCAGTGGCTGCGCAGCCCTCTCCTTTGCAGGAAGCCTCCCCAGCATCCACCCCCCTTCCTGGCTCTTCCCACATCATTGGGCTGGAACAAGAGCATCCTAATCCTGACCTCGGAGTTTGCAGAACCCAAGGCGGGCAGGAGCCAGATAAGGTATCTCTGGAGTGCTGAGGTAGGCTGGGACCCAAAGCTTATCACAGTTCCTGCAACTTTAAGGGCCTCAGGCAGTTATGGCTGCTCCTGGGCTTCAGACTCTCAATTCATAGGGTTCCCTTTACAGCAGGGGGTGGGCAAGAACTCACTTTTAGAAACCAGATTTTACTGGGACGTAGCCACGCCCCTTTGTGTCTATGCCATGTTAGGCTTCTTTCCTGCTTCAAGTTGCAACAGACACCATATGGTCCCCGATGGAAATATTTACTATCTGTCCCTTCCAGAAGTCTGTGGTCCATGCGTTCTGGGCATAACCAAAGGAGCTCTACTCGCTCCAGCTCTACCCAGCGCCCCTTCTGGGTTTTTGCCCAAAGCTACACAGATGCCACTGCTGTCAGGCACCCTCTGCTGCCAGGGTTTGGGCAGGAATGGAGCAGGCGGGGCTGGAACCATAGTGTGGGTCGCTGGCGCCACCTGCTGTGAGTGCCGGAAGCACTTCTACAGGGCTGCCTCCTGGGCCAGCGGCTCCCCCAGCTGTAGATAGCGGCTCTCCCAGCCTTAGACAGCAGTGGAGGGGATCAGTCTGGGAGGTAGGTGCAACCATCAGGTGCCAGGCCACAGGAGGGCTCAGCCCCCACAGCACGGCCCTTTTGTCTTCCACTGTGGTCTAGAGACTCCATAACTTGACCCACATTCCAGAACCGAGTCCCTTCTCTCACACAGCGGCCTTGCATCCTTGTCCAGCTGCTCAGTAAATCCTTTTCCAGGTCTTGGTCTCTTGGTTCCTGACAGTGTTTTAAGAATACATACATAAGATTTAATCTGTAACATTCTCTAGAAAGCCTGGGATAGACATTATCCTCTTTTCTTCTTTTTTATTGTTTAAAGATACACAACCTACAGTACCAAGAAACCAAGTCATCCGCTTAAAGTCACACAATGAGTACACACAGAGCCAGAATGCAAATGTAGGCTGTGAAGCTAGTAAGGTCTCCAGACGATGGTACTGGACAGATACTCCTTTATTTCTGGTGGTGGGTCCACAGTGTGGCCCCAAGGATGCGTCTGGGGCACAAAGAGTAGCATGAGCTAGGAGGGCAGGGAAACAGCCCCAGGCAGGGGAAGGAAGGGGAGGCCAGGCCCCAGGGCTCGCTTGTGCTCATGCCTCAGGCAACATTGGGCCGTGGAGGAGGAAATCATTACCTCAACTATAAATAAATCTACTCTCTGAGGAAGCTGTGGTCCAGGTGATGAGGTCCAGTCTCCCCATGACTCCTTCGAGAGGCCCTGCAGTCTGAACCCAATAACCTGAGAGCTACCACACATGTCAAGTTCATCCAGCCCTCAAAGCCACAGTGGAGAAAACGCCACTGGCTTCCTTCACTGCCAGGTCAGGTCCTGGGTGATGGTGGCATTCACTTTTGGACCAACCTCCACAGGAAAGGGCAGGAGCCGCTCCCCATTCCTACCAGGGTCCTACAGGTGACTCTGAGACCGCCCCTTGCAGCTGGGCTCCCAGCCCCCACCAGGGAGCCAGCAGTGCTGGCTGCTTCAGCTGCTCCTGGACTGGTCACCATCGCCCCTAGGTCACAAAATACTCATCGTCGTCTTCCTCCCGCTGGCTGCTTTGGAGCAGCAGCTCCAGGTCAGCGCTGGGGCCCAGGCCCTTCGTGAGCTTAGGGCCACCATCACCTTGGGGTAGACACACCACAGTTACTGACCTAGTAACCTTTTCTGGAGGTGACCCCTATGTAGTCCCAGGGAGGCAGCGCCATCTGGCACATGTCCCGGGCTACAGCAACAGTCGGTGAGGTGGCCGGATGGTGGGGCAGTCAGTGATACTAAGCCAGGGGAGGAGGCCACCGTACCTTTGGAATGCAGGGCCTTGAGGGCCACGTGCAGGGAGATGCCCGAGAGACAGAGGGCAAAGCCCAGCCAGTTCAGGAGGCTGATCTGATCGCCCAGCAGGTGAGCCGCCAGCAGCAGAGTGCAGACTTCCTGTGGGCAGAGGCAGGGCGTGGGTTAGAGCCGGCCTGACAGGCTGACCCTGGGAAGCAGAGACCTCTGTGCCCAGCTCACCGGCCTGTAGGCTACCTGGTGTTACTGAGACGCAGGGTGCACGGGTGCTTTCCACAGATTCCCAGCAAAAGCAGAAAGAAACCCACTCAGGCCCCAGAGGATGACATAAGTGTCCCACAGGAATGAGAAGTCTGCCATTGCTGGCACCCATATATGGACAGCCCTCAGCATGGCCTTGGTAAGAAAGGCCTCTCTTCATCATAGCCAGGAGACCTTATACTCAAATGTTTGCTTTGGGTGTCACTGTTCCAGCATGGAGTCTACCTGTCCAGAGGGAAACTCCTCCACACACCTGACCCGTGTGCCCAACTCTCAAGGCTGGGCCTTCTCACTGGATCAACCCAGACATGCTCCAGGTCACTGCCATAGAAACCTGCATCTCCGACTGTACGCACTGGCTAGAAGGGGCGCTTCCTCAGCTCTGCCCGGGAAGTCATGGCACGTCCAGGGCAGCTTTCTCCCACCCTCCCAAGGTGCAGAAACGGGCTGAAGCTGCTAAGAGAGAAAGAAGCCTCCTTCTAATCTGGGGTCACGTCCCAGTGTGTACCTTAAAGATGCCAGCGATGGAGAGAGTCAGACTAGATGTTCTGGAGACCAGGAGGAACTCAGAGAAGCCCAAACCAAAGGCTAGAATCCCGCCAAGGAAGAGGCTGCCGAGAACCCGCAGGAGCAGCCCTGCATCTTGGAAGCGGAAGATTTTCTCTGAGGTGGACAAATGGAGACCTGAAAGCAACAGGGAGAGCGGGAGGCCAGGCCCTGAGTGGCGTGCTGACCCTTCTCAGTAACCTCTGCACCTCTTCAGAGTGGGGGGTTGGGGGCGACACCTGGCTTGCTGATTGCCTGAGGTGGGAAAAAGGATGGGAGGGGCGGGTAAAACAGTCCCAGGCAGGTGGCCTGAGACTCAGGGACCACGGTGGCATTACAGAACCCGGGGTAATGCTCGTCCTGCACGTCCACTATCAGAACAGGGAGGAAGGACTTGAATCTGTGCACAGAGGCTGACTGTACAGGACTCCTCACTTTAGATTATGTGCATGTGAGTACATACATGTACACACACACACACACACACACACACACACACACACACACACGCACGCACGCACGCACAGTGCCAGGATGGAACTCAGGGCTCACGTTAGGCATACGCTCTACTGCTGAGCCACACAGCTCAGCCTGAATCTGGGACTTGCTACTATGAAGCTATGTATAGACTTGGGTGGAGAGATGTCCCCTTTTTGGTTATTGGTTTTCCTACTGAGAGAATGACAGAATTGCCACTAGACTGTCATTTCTCCAACAAGCAGTATAATATAATGAACATAACTCAAAAAACAAAAACAAAACAAACTTCAAAAAACAAGAAAGCCCAGAGCAGAGTGTGGTGACACACACCCGTGACCACAGCACCTGGGTGGTGGGGTCAGAGGACTGGTTCAAGGAGAGCTACAGGAAGCTCAGACCAGCCCGGGCTACACAGGGCTCATCTCAAACCACACCACACCACACCACACACATGTAATTACATGAGAGCTACAGCCCCTTGCTCCACACTGCACAAAACATCAGTCTCTGCTTCAGTTTTTGGAAGCCGTGGCCCCTCCTTAAAGAGCTCCCAGGCTTTCCCACAGCAAGGTCCCCAGGGTGTGTCAGAGGGGGGGGAGGTCAGTGTCTACTGGGCACAGTAGACACAGGGGGAGCTGAAGGTAGACACGAACTCTGTGGGGTTGAGGAGGGGAGGGGCACAGAAATTTGACCACAGTGCGGCTGGCCTGGCCACGTGGGGCCATCTTGTTGGTGCTGGGTTCAGCGGTGCTGCAGAGGCGGTGGCAAATGGAAGGGGATTCGGGGAAGAGCAACATAAGTAATGAAGGCGCTTGGGGGATTAATTTACCAGAGAAGATTAAAGGGGCTAAATCCATGCAGCTTTGCTAAGTGGTGGCGACCAGGGGCTTTTGGATGAGGTTTGCAGAGCAGGGAACAGCAAGGACGCCTGGGGGGGGGGGGGGGCGTGGTGTTTGCTACGAGGGGCATAATGAAGGAATGGGGAGAGATTTTAAAAAGGAAAAGCATGAGGTTCCACACACAAGTTTCCTGGACAACGGGGCTGTGGAATCATTTTCTCAGAGAGGTTGGAGACGCTTCGCTGCTTGAAACTTAAATGGATGTGGGATGGAATTTTCGGTAATGACCCTGAGGACAGCTGGGACTCTGAGAAGGAGGGTAAACAAGGGACAAAGACTAATCCCAAAGCACTGGAGAAAGGAAGGCAGCAACACCCTGCCCACCTTGTACAAGCCCCTGGCCTGGCCTCTTATCTGGAACAACTGTCCATGTACCCAGGCTGTCCCCCTACCCAGCTGTGGAAGTTAACACTCCACCCATGCTCCCTGAGCACACACAGCAGAGCCTCCTGCCCTGCTCCCCAGGGAGCCCTGGTGTCATCATCAAACCACACACCCACCACTCAACCTCTACCATTCCCCCTTTCCCACCCAAGCATTCCTGGACAGACCCTGACTCTGCTCCCTGGGAGCCATGTACACCATGTGACAGTGGGCCCAGCCTCCTGACGCCAGGCTGTTGGGCACCAAGTCCACTTTGCTTATGAGCTATGGGACTCTGGGCAAGCTTTCCCCCTTGTTTCCTTCTTCTGCCGAATGGGGAAGAAAACAGTCCTCCACATCTGGTTACAGAGGGAATGAAAAACGGGTGCATAAATAGCTCAGGCACGCCTGGAGTTGTCCACACCCTCTGCACTGACTCCTTGTATTTCACACATAATTTCTCGCACCCTTGTCATACGAGACTCTAGTCATTCTGTGTGTGTCTGTCTAGTCCCAAACCACAGCAGCTGGGGAGGGACTAAGTTCTAGATCTGGGCAACCTCTATGGCTAGCACTGTGCTGAGCTCAGGGCAGTAATGTGGTATCTGCTGTTCTGCGGTGCCCAGAGGTAGAAGATGGAGCGTACCTTCAAATACAGCAAAGAGAGGGAAGAGCCCCAGAAACATGAGTGGCTGCAGGTGGAACATGGTGTCGATAGGATTCTGAAGGCCTACAGAACAGGACACGGAAGGTTGTCAGACCTAGCCTGGCGGCCTACGTCTGCCCCACCCCCACCCCTCCCCAGGGGCTCACCCAGGTCAGCTTTCTGCAGAAGCATCTGTGTAAGGGTCCAGCGGATGCCGCCGATGAATGATGCCCCCAGCACCAAGGCAAAGCCCTCCACATTGAACTGTGTGGACTTATAGGTAAACATGAAGAGGCCCCCAGCGATGAGAAGGACCACCAGGATCAGGGCTGCACGCTAGGAGAGGAACAGTGCAGCTCACTGGGGGCTCCAGGCACAAGCATGTGCCCGATGTCGAGCTGGGGACAGTAGCCGTTCTGTGCCTCATCACGTCCAGAGGTCCTGGCTTACTGACAGACACAAGGCTGACACACAGCTGGCATGTTTCTGATAACATACTTACTCTGAAATATTAAAGTACTGGTGTGCTCATTCCAGGCTCCAATTCCGCCCCCCCCCCCCCCCAACAAACAAAATAACACCGAATGGCTCCATGGGAACCCCAGGTCCCCCGGCCAATGCTGGCCCTGCTGCACTTGTTTCTAAACCTCCTGCCATCACCTGTATCTATGTCCCCTCCCAAAGAAAGGCATTTTAAGAGACTCGGGGCAACAGTGCACTGTCACCGAGTGACAAGCCACTGCTCTGAGTTCCTCTTTCATCCTGGGTATCTGCAGTGACCGGAGGGAGGGTCATGGGGCCTCACCAGCTCCTCCAGCTTGAAGATCAGAGAGAAGATCAGGATGAAGAGCACGGCAGACGATTTGGTCATTGTGTACCTGGAGCAGAGATTCCCACAATGCACGACTGCAGACCCCCATCCGATGGCAAGCAGGCCCCAAAGAGCAAAAGAAGCAAGCAGGGGTGGGGGTGGGGTGGGGAATGGGACAGGAACGGAAGAAGCCTTTAAGAGGAGGGGGGAGGAGCGGTGGTCTGATGCCGCCGAGTTTACTGAGTTCTGTTCTCTACCTGGTGGAGACTAGGTAAGAAAGGATGACAGACCATGGACAAAGAGAAGCCAGGACTACACTCTCTGAAGCCGGGCGTCAGAGCTGTGACTGCTAAGTGGCTGGGTTCTGACGGGCAGTGTTTCACTGCCTGGTGCTCCACTCTGCGGCCTGACACCCCCAGCCATCATGCCACCTCACCAAGCAGCCATGGCTGCTCTGTCCAGTCCCCTGGCTTGCCCTTGCTGCCTGGCAGGTGGGTACAGCATATCTCTCTGCACTGGCTTGTGAAAGAGCTGGAGGCTTCTTGGAATGCTGCTGGGTGCCAGCAAGGAGCTGAGGGGGCAAGGGTGGGTCCCAGAGACTGATGGAATAGTTGGCCCGTTGCTGGCAGCACAGACTGCCCGCTGGACTGAGCAAGTGAGCTCAGCCTGAGTGGGGGCTGAGGGCGTGGCCCGTACTCACAGTGACACGGTGATGTAGAGAAAGCTCCAGTTGGACAAGCCCACATCAAGTGCTGTTGCCAGTGCTGTGGGGACAGGGGACGCCCAACGGGGCAGTCAGCGGGCAAGCATGTGGCTGAGGCACCTGAGGCCCTGCTTGCCCTTCCTGTCCACCAAGCAACGCCAGGTTAACACCTGGCCAAAAGGGTCCATCCTGATTGGCTAGGCCTGTCAGTCTCCTCTGTGAGTCCATCCTCATTAGCTAGGCCTGTCAGCCTCCTTTGTCAAATAATTCAAACAGCTCCAGACGAGAGCATTAAACTGATCCTGTGGAACTGCTCGAGGCACCTGGCTCTCCACAACTAGCCTGGCCTGTCAACTCACCTCCCGCCCCCTCACCGGCAGAGTTCTCCCCTTCTGACTTCATCCTCCCAGGGCCAGAGGCTCCCATCCACCCTCAGGTCTTGCCCGCTCAAGACTAGTCCTAGGAAGTCTTTTAACCCCACCTAGCATGGCCACCATGGTGAGGCCCCCGTGAGCCAGCAAGGATAGAGATGCTGAGCGCTTTGCTGAGATGCACCAGTGGGAGAGGACTGAGGAGGGAGGGGGGCGGGTAGGGCATGGCCTCAAGGCCATAGGGCTCCTCTGCTTTCGGGCTGGGCTCTCCAGCAGCCCCCTCACACTGGACCCACCTGTGGGCGCCACTCTCCTGAGGTAGTCAGTCCAGCTGAGCACCACACGGGCCCTGTGGCTGGAGCACTGAACCAGCGCCCTGGACAGGGCCGAGAAGAGGAAGATCACGGCCAGGTGCAGCATGGTCATGAAGAGGGGGAAGTGGAAGCTCTGTGGGGCCCGAAGCAGACAGGGGGATGGAGAGACGCCTCCTGTGGTGGCGGGGCCGGCCCCGCGCCTCCCCACTCCCTACAGTGGCGGGGCTGACCCAGTATCTCCTCTCCCGCCTCTGGTGGCAGGGACTAATCTAGGGCTCTGTGTCAGGGACTCAGCCACAGAAGGACCTCTTGGAACAAGGGGCTAGTCCCCACTGTGGAGGTCTCACAGAGGAGTAGCAGCTTGGGGGCTCAATGCTGCCCAATTTTATCAAAACCTGTTCTTCGGATGGATGCTTAGCCCTCTCAGGGTCAAGGTCCAGGAGAAGGCACCATGACCCAATGCAACTGCAGCGACTACAGCCACCTTGAGGCGTCCCTGTGCTGGCAAGGCCCGGTTACCTTTGTCAGCCACTTGTTGTAGAAGGTGATGCCTATGGAGAAGCAGTAGTAGAGAAGGACCAGGCCCACGGTCAGCACTGCCTTCCACACAAAGGCCAAGTCGAGGGCCCACCTCCCCATCCGTGGGCCAGCAGGAACAGGAGCCTCTCCTGAAGATGGTTGGCAGAAGAACCAGCAGCTGGACCCCGGCTTTCAAAGGGCAGCTCCCCTAGCTGGAAGAGTCCTCTTCACCTCCATGATGTGGAACGTGCAACGGCCCCCGATGGAGTCCTCACCTAAGGGGCCGATGGCCAGAGCCAAACTGCTCCATGGTTAGCTGGATGCGGAGATCGCAGGTCCCCAGCTCTGCTGCTGCAGAGAAGAGAGGGAGGGTCTAGCCATGGTGAGAATGCAGAGGCCATGGGTCCCACCCCAGCACAGGCACTGGAAACTCTAGTGTACATGCAAACTGTCCTCCTCGGGCTCCCACCAAAGCAACCTTTCAACAGGTAAGTGAGATGCTGCCAGACTCTTCTTCAAGCCTCCAGCAGCTCCCAGTCACCCTCACAAAGGCCAAAGCCTGCCTGGAGTTCCAAGGTCTAACCTGGTCTAGTCGGCCTCTGCCAGTCTGTCCCCGGCACAGAAGGGATGGAGGGGGCGGTAGACTGGGTCACCCTTCTGTCCTTCCTCAGGGACCTGACTACAAGCCACCACTGTTCTACTTTTCTTTTGTAGCAACTAGGGAGTGTGATTTGAGCAGGCCTTTTTTTTTCTTTTCAATGCTGTAGACAGAACCAGGGTCTCATGCTAGGGCCCTGTACCAGTGAGCCTTACCCCCAACCCGTGAATGATGCTGCTGTCCTTGCTAGGCTGCACTCCACAAGGGCCTCACACACACAGCATTCTCTATATTCTCCTTTTGGCCTGATGACCCCATGACAGAGTGTGTGTACGGGAATTCGGGGGACTTAACAGGTTTTGAGGAGCTAAAGGGGACCGGGTGTACCTTGCCCTGGTCTCCAACAGCTACTCCCAGAAAGCAGGTGCCTCCCAAACCACATTTCCACTTGTCAGTCAGTCCAGTAACACCATGAGTGCCCCGAGCAAGCCTGGCTCAGGGAACACTGGGGACTTGGCTCTGCCTGGGTGAGCCTTGGAACTGTTCCGTGTACTACAGTTGTTTCCTCCCCTCCATGCTGGAATGACAGTTCCTCTGGGAGCCTTCTAGAATCATGAAATCAGACCTTTCCCCTTCCAGTCTGTACTCTGGAACCTGTTATCATATCCCCTCCCTGAGGGCAAACTGGGCTGGCTCTGGGCTTTGTCAAAAGGACTCCTGGACTGTGGCGGAGTTTGGACTGGAACTCTGGGTGTTGACCTGGAGGAAGCTCCTGACACTCAGTGAGCAGGGACTACAAAGGCCCTGCCCAAGAAGCTAAGAGGGTTTTGCATTCTGAGCATCTCTGATGTTCACAAAGGCTTCTGATTTCTGTAAACACAGTTTTCCAGGGCCCTACCACACACGGAATTGCTATGAATACTATGCGTACTATCAAAGTGGAACCAGGGTCTCCATTCTGGAAAACCCACTTTGTTGACAACAACTCATATCTCTGGGCTGCTGACACGGGCAGCTGTGAAATTACCCTTATGGCAGGCTCACTTCTGTGTATTCAACAGCAAGAGGAACCCATCAGTGGCCTCCCTGTGACTCCAGCACTACTCTGACGGACAGAAACCTTTTATTTTATCATTAATTACCTTCCCTTCAACTATGGTTTGGGTCCACTGGTTTTCAGGTTAATGAAGAGACTGCAATTAAAAGACATGGTGGGTCCAGGGGAGAGGCAGTGCCCTGTTGGTCTAATGCAGCCTTGCATTTTTTTCTCAGTATCTGTTTTTATTTAAATTAGAACAGCCTTACATACTGACACACATTCTGCAGGCTAACATCTCCCCAGCATGCAGCCTGCTGCTGGTTCCCATGAGCCCTAGAGGCAGATCCAACTGCTGACTGGACTTATTCAGCAGGGCCACTAATCTCGGCTACCCTGCTAGACAGCTGGGGACACAGGCTCTAACCTAGTTCAAACAGGCTTCAAAGTCCACACTCTCTCTGCTAGGGCTCTGCAGCCTGGCACTACCAAATCTTTCTGGGAGAGGTCAGTCCTATGTACTGCAGTCATTAGCAAATCCCTGCCTCTACCCACGGGGTGCTAGAAGTATTAGGTCCCAAACCCCAAGTTGTCACAACTAGGCTGTGCCCAGAAGTCACCTTGTAGTGCTGGCCTGCAGGAAACACGCCAGGCTCCCCGTGAGCCACTGCCTCCCCTACCCAGGAAGTGGCGGGGCATCTACATGCCAGGACAGCCTGTTCCCTTTTCTCTCAACTTACTGGTCCACCTACTTCTGATCTCCTACTTGGCACTACAGTGCCCTTTGTCCAGTGTTCTAGCCCTCCTTTCCTTCAGAGAGCTTGTCCAGCTCCCCACCTCTAGGGGGCACCATGCAGAAAGTCGCCTATTCTATCTGCAAACACAAAGCTAGAAAGGCCTCAGCCAGAAAGGCCTCCAGGAAGCAGCCAGCCACTCCCTCCACGCCTCAACACAACGCAGTGGTTTGCCTCACACTGACTGGATATACAGACATGAAACCTCTAAGGTCCTCACCCTCACTCTGTGGTAAGGCAGAGCAGGCATACAATCACATCTGTCCAAGCAAAGGATTCACAGTCTTCTTTTTCCCAAGAAGTAGCAGCTACCTCAGAGCAGGTTGGCAAACACTGGCTTCCCTCTCCTACCTCAGCTGTAACATCAAGCTTTGTGTAGCTTAGTGCCTCAAAGCACGGGCTCTAACATCACAGATGCAAGCAAACCCTCTATGTCCACCTGCCAGAGATTCCAAGCTCTCCGGCTGTGTGGACTCGGGTTCTCTAACCATATGCTCTTCGGGCAAGGTCGTCATTGGCATGAGAAGCAGCACTTGACAGTGACCCACAGTCACCACAGCTTTCCAGTGCCGGGCCCATTCCCTCACCTCAGGCTGTCAGGTTGTTCACGCAGGCCACGGCTAGTCTTTGCCTGTCACCTGTTCAGGGACCAAGTTCCTGTGACTCCCTCATGAAACCGACCACTTCCTCCTCGGAGATCTACTGGGTGTAACTTGTCGCCGTCTCTGGAGTCTTCTGCTTTCTGGACAGCTGCCTGCCCAGTGCCTTCTCTCCAACTAGGCCAATCAGAACTGGTCCCTGAGGGGTGGAATCCCTCTTCTGTCTTCATTCCCATCCCACCAAGACCACCCCAACCTTCCTGTGGGAACAGAGGAACCTAACCGTCATTTAGGTAGCTCCAGTTGGACCCCTCAACCTCAAGGTGCCCTGAGGAGCTCTCTTAACATTCTTCAGGTCTCTGTCCTAGAAATAGTCATCCTAACAAGGGGCAGTCATCAGTGAAGTCATTGCTGTCCCCCTGCATCCCTCATACCCTGCCTGTCAAGTCCACCTCTAGCTGTCTGCTGTCCCCCCCCACTTGCCCCCCTTCTTCTCCACCACCAGTCTGAGCCACAGACACCTTTCACCTACTGCCTGCACTTCAGAAAGAGCCGCAGGCAGGTGTTACGGTTAGTGCTGTCAACCCGGCAGTCACCTGGGAGATGGGCCTTGGAGCACACCACTAAGAGATTCTCTAGGTCAGGTTAGCTGGTGTGAGGGGATCTATCCGCTTGTGGGTAGCCCCCGCCCCCGACTGCATAAAGGGGCAAAGGGACCCTAGCACGCATTCAAGGCTCCCTGCTCCGGGGCTGTGGATGCAACGTGGCCAGCTGCTTCCAGCTCTTGCTGCCCGGACTTGCCCACGATGGTGTGCACACAGAATTGTAGGGAAAAGTAAGCCCTTCCTTTCTTAAGTTGCTCTACCACAGCAACAGGGAAAGAAAGTAAGACAGACGGCTTCAACAGACTCGGAGACCCTTGGGCTGGGTCCCCAACAAGTCCTCCTCGGATGCCGCCTGCCAGAGCTTTGCAACCTCCACGCTCAGCCGTGCGCCCAACACATCAGCGGGTGTCCTCCTCGGTTACCTGATGCTCTGGGCTGGCTCCTGTCCCCCTTCCCCAGGGTCCCCACTACGTGTGGCACTTCCCACCGCGTGACGTCTGTGTTTGCTCACGTGTCACCCGCTGCGCCTGCCCGGCAGTGCTCGTCTAGTTCCAGGGGGACGGGCCCAGGGTCACGAGAGGATTAGGGAAACTGAGGCCCGGGACTGGCGGTAGCGCAGGGGACCGCCCACCGCACGCCCACTTACCTCCGCCCAGGCGCTCGCTCCGGAGACTCCTGCCGGAAGCTCGAGCTAAGCCCTGGGCCGCAGAAGGCGAGACTTCCGCCGGAAGCCGGCGAGGGTGGGTGGAGCCAGAGCATCTTTCTCTAGCTAAATCGGTCACTGCAGGCATTGCAACACAGTGCCTCGGTCTTTCCCTAAACTGGCACTGGGAACGAATCATATATACTAATAACTCTCTCGTGTGCTTTTCTTCTGGGACCTCAAGCATCTGGGAAATGGCATGAGGGCCATTAAATTTTAGAAACGTAGAAAGTCTGGGCAAAGTAATAATGGACACTTGTGAAATTACATATACCTATACATTTGTGAGAATTATTCAGTAGGTTGAGAAGGTGAAGATCGTCCCAGGGGGAGTGGAATCCAAAAGGAAGGGGTGAGAAGAGTGTAGTGACTTCAGAACGCCATCTAGCACACCCAGATTTGAGTCATTTTAGGTGCGGGGCACGTGAGCAAGAGAACCTCTAAGCCACACAAGCTAGGGCTGCAGACCCACGCTGGCCAGTTCTCTGCTACAGCTCTTCTGGGCTCTGCACTAAGACTGGCTGCAAACAGGGATTCTTGCGCATGACTTGGCTGGGCTCCTGGCTCCTAGCAGAAGGCTGAAGGCCAGAGTGTAAGCTGTGCTTTGTACGGTGCTGCTGTAGGCTGCTGCCAGCTGGCATCACGCAAGTATTAGTTCATTCAATGCTTCCTAAAACCTACAATGGTACCCATCGCAGCCCAAGGTCTTGGCTTCATTCAGCCCTCAAGGCCTGCGTTGCATGCACGTTCTATGCCTTCTGAAAGCGCCTGTCCTCACCCCCTTCTGACAGTGGCAAGGGGAAGTATTTTCATCTATTTTCATCACTGCCCTCATTCAAGCTTCCCAGCTACCAAGGCTGCTGATGGGAGCGAGAGCTTAAGACACCAGCTGGAAGGCTGGGCACCGAGCACAGGCAGCACACGGGGCGCACAACATGTCTTCTTTGAAAGGCACAAGTACTCGAGCTGTTCCCTGGCTGTGTCCCTGGCAGGGAAAAGAGGGGGATGCGATCTTGGGGGTGTACCCAGCAGGGCTGAGCGGAAACACTCTGTCCTGGCCCCACAATCTGTAAGCATCCTTAGCCAGCAGGTGTGAGTAGTCTGTGCATGACACAGCAGGATAGGTGAGGAACAGAGAGGAGGGGCTCCCGGAAGGTGGCTGGGGCGCCCCAGATGCTCCCAGGCACAGTGGAATGAGGGCTGGCAGGTGACTCCCTGCCCTTGGGGTGGGGGGCAAGTGCAGAGGAACAGGTGTTTATAGGAACCAGTCATCATGAAAGAGTATTTATTGAAAACACTGTCACTGACAGGAACCCCTTGGCTGCTTTCTGGTTACAGTCCTAGCTCATGACCAAGAGCATTACATTTTTGCACTCAGTTTTATCTTCTCTTAAACACTCTAACCTAGGATGGGATGATCTTATATAAATATATATACACGTCTGTATAAGTATGGCCTATAGTAGAGAAAATATATAGTACACTCTTGGTCGGGTAGTGCTACCATGCCAGGCTACCAGTACTTAATACCACCGTGTTAGCATGCGTCCAAGGAGAGAGGCTGTGCGTGTGCTTCAAGTGCTACAGCACCAGAGAAGGCCCATGGCACAGCTGTGGCCCTAGCCGCTTCTTGAAATCATGGCTAATGGCAGAAACCACAGCGCCAGGAAGGAAAGAAAGGGAAGGCAAAGTGCCCCGAGTCTAGGGGCAAGAGGGAAGCAAACAGAAGGGTCTGTACCTAAGGGGCATGAGAACATCCTTCCTCAGCAAGGGAAAGGTAGAAATGGAGGGGGAGAGCTGCGAGGCCTCAGCCTGACTCTTCCTGCAGTGTTCCTGGAGACTAGACAGCAGGCCTCAGGCTGCAGGCCTCTGCCTGGCTAGGGTGAGACCGAGTGCTTGGGGAAGAGATTGCTACCTGTCCTGATGCCTGCGCAGGCAAGAGAGGTGGATACCTCTAGAGACAGAGATGTTAGGGCCAACCCTGAGGCAGTAGCATCTTGGCACAGGATGAGACCAGAATGAGCCCTCAGAGACCTATTAAGCAAAAGCACGGGCCTGTCCTTGCTGAGCAACCTGAAGATAGTCACTCCAAGGCTCTCACCATTCCCATTTCCCCAGTCCCCTTGGGCAGCCTTCCTGAGTCAGCTGCAGCCCACATGGGTTCTCCAGAAAACTAGAGAAAGAGGATGGTCATCAGTAAGTCCAGTTCCAGATGCAGACTCAGGGTGGGAGGCAAGAGCATCTTGAGTTCACTCCTCCAGGCCCGACCCCAGGCTCTGTGGTGCTGAGGAGGGCAGCATGCCCTGACTTCTTGACTCCTAGTGAATGGGGACCAAGAGAAGCTCTGGGTCCCATTGGGATTGAGGAGTAGCCACCACGACCACTACTGAGTCTGTACAAGTAGAGGGCAAGGCACAGTCTGCCAGTGTCTCTCCTGAGCCGCAGTCCCTTCCCGCTCATCCGTAGTGATAGACGAAGTCATAGCTGCTGGGCTCCTTGGGGACTGGTGGTGGTGCCTCAGGAATCTGGATGTTCTCCAAGTCCAGAAGCCGCAGCTTCATCTCCATGCTGAGCAGTGTGTCCAGGTCGCTCTTGGTCAGCTCACTGGACATGTCCTTCCCCAGGAGGGCACTGAGTCCATCAATCCAGATGCAGTACTGTGGGCAAGTTGCAAATGTCACACAGTGGCCCCACAGGCTGCAGTGGGACTCATGAGTGCTGTTTGGTAGCAATCAGAATACGTAAAACTCATAGGAGACAAGAGCAAGGACAGCTCGGAGATGACTGCCACTAGCAACTGAAAGATTTTTATGGAGAATTTATGTGAAAACTTTAAAAACTATATGAAATGTGGTTTGCAATGCAATTAAGGGATACGAGAAGATGGAAACGGTACTGGAGCAGTGAGAAGAAATGGGAGCAGTAAGCACTCAAAGAAAAGATAAGGAAGCAGACAGGGACTCAGCAGTGCTATTTTGTTTTTTTAAAAAAGTCAATTATGTTAAAGGATTTTTTAAAAGGGAAGTACAAAAGAAATTGGCATAGCTTTCATGGTGGAACAAGCTTATGACACCCAAGCACTTGGGAGATAAAGGCAGGAGGATCAGGGATTCAAAGCTAGCCTCAGCTACACCGTAAATCTGAGGTTAGCTCCAGGCTATATGAGACCCCGTCCCAGATAAGCAAAACAACAACCACAACTATGCCAGAAGCTCTTAGAATGCAATGGTACAGCAGACACTATGCTCTGCCAATCCCTCTGATGCTGGTTTCCTTTGTGCTCGTTCACTAGGCTCTGTTACCCTAACAAAGCCCTACTGGCCCCAGTATCTGCTCCTCCTGAAGCCTGACCCCAAGTGCTCAATGACAGGTGCTCAGGTAACAAGGAGTTGGGCAGTAACATCTTCCCGAGCTACTGGAGAACTGGGGTCCCTTGTTAGGAGGAGCACAGCCTAGCTCCACAGCCTGATTGCATCTGCCCATGTAACTGAGATTCAACTCACCTGGGAAGATGTGACTGCAAGATTACAAAGCGGGAAACCATCTCCGGGTCAGGCCTAACGATCTAATAATAAATAGCCAGCTGCTCCTAATGAGTAAGGTGGAAGGCTGGGGGGTTGGGGTGGCGCACCCCTTTAATCCCAGCCCTCGGGAGGCAGAGGAAAGCGGATCTCTGTGAGTTCCAGGCCAGCCTGGTCTACACAGCACACACACAAAGAAAAAAGGTAAAGTGGTGAGTCCAACCTAGTGGCAGAAGGCCCACAGACTCGGCAATCCACTGTGGCCACCTGCTTTCAGGGGACACTGCTGTGCTGGCCACACCTCCTCTCTGGCTGAAGAGCCACACTGAGGGCACTGCTGCTCAAGGCAGTGTGGTACAG